TATTTTGAAATATAATGGCATGGCAAATGATATGTAACATGCAAAGGTGTAAAATAAAAGAGGCCCATCAATTATTTTCTAATGATGGTATTATTTTCCGTGACACGATTTGGCAGTTAGAGTAGAGTTTTCGTTTCACAAGCAATTATTTACTTATTTATAAGGGTAATTCGTTATAGTTATGATAGTTTACAGGCTTAAAACAGCATACCTCGGGTATAATTTAGCTGAAAATTACGCTTTACTCAATGAATGTCAAAGTCATTCGCATGACACCACTCAACCAGCGCACCAGTGTAATGTTGGCGCACCAAAAACCAACAACTAAACTGGTTTCAATCTGGGAGCAATGGCGGTCCTATTTCCCGTCACGCAAACGGCGCACTGGTGGACTGTCGACACCCACCGCCTTCCCCCCCCCCCCCCCCCCCCAGAGAGGCGCTGTGGCCGGCGCCGGGGCCGCCAGCAGTTGCAGGTCGTGACCGTCCAATTAGGGGCTGGTGCCGGCGGCCGGCAGAGCAGTCGGTCCGCGGGCCACACCCAGAGAGCAGTCGCCAGTCAGCCCGCAGCCTCTCCCAGAGAGCATGACCAGTACGCGGCCTCACCCAGGGACCAGTCAGTCCGCGGGGACTCTTAGTCAGTTCGCGGCCTCTCCCAGAGAGCAGTCTGCAGCCTCTCCCAGAGAGCATGACCAGTACGCGGCCTCACCCAGAGACCAGTCAGTCCGCGGGGACTCTTAGTCAGTCCGCGGCCTCTCCCAGAGAGCACTCAGTCCTCGGGGCCTCACAGTCAGTCCGCGGCCTCTCCCAGAGAGCATGACCAGTCCGCGGCCTCACCCAGGGACCAGTCAGTCCGCGGGGACTCCTAGTCAAGTAGTCAGTCCGCGGCCTCTCCCAGAGAGCAGTCAGTCTGCGGCCTCTCCCAGAGACCGTACAGTCGGCAGTGGGAACGCTGGTCACCGGCCGACCTGGCACCCTTCCCGACCAGTGGGAGCACAGAGCACCCGCCGGCCGGCCTGGCACCCTTCCCGACCAGGAGGAGCACAGAGCACCCGCCGGCCGGCCTGGGAGCCCTCCCGACCAGTGGGAGCACAGAGCACCCGCCGGCCGACCGGTCGGAAGCCCCAACTAGCAACCATGCTCCGCGGGTATCTGTTGGTGAATTTCAAATTCATTTATTTACTTATTATTTGAAGTGGATTCATCATACAAATTATCTTTATTTAACATCGTTAGACCAGCCTGAGGTTTGAAGCACTATTCTCTACTTTAATTAATGTATGGCAAATGTCAACGCTCCCTACGTTATTATTTTACCAAGCTAAACCAATTAAACGCATCGTTTCCGGCCTAGACTACAATAACTCTGCCGCGGCCTGATCCCATTACAATGGAGGCTAATTAGATACTGAATCAATTAAACGGGTCAATAAACCCCTGCTAATGCCTCTACAATGTGGCAGCTACCAAATTGAAATCGAACCAGGCATTCCTTCCACCAATTTGTTCCACACAAACTTTAAAACGGCGGCAGTGAAGCTCGACCCAACTCGAAGTGACGGGCTGGACGGCCGATCGCGTCCGTACACAGCGCTGATTGAAAGGGTCTCAGCGTCTACAGACACCCGGCCAGCCCTCACTGAGCCGCTGCAAATAGCGCAGATTCCTCACTGGATACAAAAATACAGAACCGCCAGTAACAGCACCAAACCAGTGTCGCCCTGGGTCGGAACGAAAACAAAAGGCATCATTGGGATGCGGAGCAGAGAGCCAGAGAAGGCAAATTGTGTACTGTGGCGCTTAATTGCTTCGAAAGGAAACTTATCGTGGGTCGTAAAAGACGAGAGGTTGTTTATGTCGCCGTCCGGCCGAATGTTGGGCACACGTTAATTGCCAGGGCGGATAGTGGCGGCTCCCCTGCTCTGCCCAGAGCGCCGCGGCAGCTGCGGGGCTCGGCTCGGCACTGAGATCGGACACAGTCGTGGAATCTCTGGTCTGCTGCACTCGCTACTGGGGCCCTGCAAGGAGCGACAACACCACCCACAACTCTTACTGCTTGTGGGGCTGGTAAATAGTAGACATCTCTCATGCCATATTATAATTAATGACATTACAAACTGTATTGTGACATTTAAATTAACTCTTTCGCCCTATGACAAGCGAACGTTAATTTCCACTGACCCGCTCTCGAGAAAAGGATGTCACAGCCAGCCGACCAGCTGACCAGCTCTGTCCCTGCCGTGGTAGCTCACCTGTGCCACCCGACCAATCTGATCTCCTCCCGTCCCATTCCGTCCCGTCCAATCCCGTCCCGTCCCGTCCCGTCCCATCCTGTTCCGTCCCGTCCCATCCTGTCCCGTCCCGTCCCGTCCCATCCTGTCCCATTCCATCCCGTCCGGTCCCGTCTCATCCTGTCCCGTCCCGTCCCGTCCCGTCCCGTCCCGTCCCGTCCCGTCCCGTCCCGTCCCGTGCCATCCCGTCCTGTTCCGTCCCGTCCCATCCTGTCCCGTCCCGTCCCATCCTGTCCCGTGCCATTCCATCTCGTCGCGTCCCCTGTCCTGCTCCCCGGGCTATTGTCAGACCGGCGGGTGTGATACGGACCGGTCACCCCGCCTTCCGGTGCCCCCCCCCCCCCCGCCATCGGATGTCTCAGCCCATTATCGCCGCCATCCGGGCGTCATCAGCGTCACAGCGGCGGGCGGCGCGCGTGACACCACCTGTTGGTCGCCAGTGCAGCAGCGAGCGGGCCTGCACGCGGCCCAATGCTGCGGAAACTCGGCAGCTCAACACGGTTTTAGGGGCTTATGGTAGGATAATTGTGATAGAGCTGTAAGCCACATGATAGTTGGAACTCTACACCCCACATACGAATGTTGCGCAAAAATATCTCAATTCATACATAAGTAAGAATTTTACCTAAAAACCTTGCTTCAATACAATTAAAGAAAAATAGCTACAGTATTGACGTTGCACAGGTTGGTGGCACTGATGTGCCTTGACAATGTTGTCAGTTATGTCTCTTATAGCAGTGCTGAGAACAGTTCAGCTACATCAAACTCTGCCTGAACGGAAATCTAGGCTCGACTTCAACACAAAACTTTTTGGTACCTAATACGAATTGAAGTGAACTTAATTTCGAAAGCATATCATTAAATTATTTGGGCAGTATTATATTGAAGTCGGAAAATGGCTACAGGTAGATTCTTAGTAAGCATCTACTAAGAATACCTATACATGTGATCATGATTCTTACATACAATGTGATTAATATCATGTGAGAATGAAATGATATCCGAATTTGTCTCCCAATATCCAGCACCGTTAAACCCGGAACCCATTACTCCAAATTATTTTCATCAGCGACCGAGACATCTCGCTATCGCGATGTGTGGTGTGTCTACTTTATTTTTGTGTCGTTACGTGACAGAGATGGGGCAGCGCCCACTTTGCCCTAAAAACGGGGGAGACGGCACACTGTGGCCTTAAAAACGGGGGAGACGGCACACTGTGGTCTAAAACAACGGGGGAGACGGCACACTGTGAACTTTTATAACGGGGAGACGGCATCCCGTGACCCTTTGTAATGGGACAGACGGCACACTGTGTGACGATGTGACGATATTACGGCTTCCGGCCAGCGGCAGTGGACGGGTGGGGCTGGCGACGGAATCTGACAACGACTGATGTGTACCCGGGCTAGGTATGTATGTACAGTCTGTCTTAAAAGTACCGCGCAAAGTGGCGGTGGATCCATCAAGCCTGACCGAGAAAGGTCTGCTTTAATTTGAAAGTCACCGAACCAATTGAGCTGGGGAATGGACGAGGATGTCCATTGCTTCGGTGACCCAAATTTAGCAGGCCCTTCCCCAGTCAGGCTCGATGGATCCACCGCCACTTTGCGCGGTACTTTTAAGACAGACTGTACAGCCTGTCTTAAAAGTACCGCACAAAGTAACGGTGGATCCATCAAGCCTGACCGAGGAAGAGCCTGCTATAATTTGAAAGTCACCGAACCAATTGACCTGGGGAAGGGACGAGGATGTCCATTGCTTTGGTCACTCAAATTTAGCAGTTCTTCATCGGTCAGGCTTGATGGATCCACCCGCCACCGTCACTTTACGCTGTACTTTTAAGACGGATTGTACATATGTACATATCAGTGTATTTCCGCGTGTCTGGCACCGAGGAGAGCCCGCGGAATATGTAACGGCCGGCCGGGCAGACAGCCGGCCGGCCGGCGCGGCGGACCGGGAAAAGCGGCTCCGAGACGCGCCGGGCCGGCCGACGCGGCGGTACAGAACACCGCACCGGGGCGAACCATGGCAAACCGGACCAGTGGCACAGAGGACCGAGCCCGTGACACAGAGAACCGAAATGGTGACATACATAGCGAGCCGAAATGGTGCTATAGCGAACTTAACCAGCCCCCATAGCCGAAGGAGCCTTGAGACGACTTCCACTCAAATCGTTCGTCCGCTAGCGACTCATCTTTGTGGAATTCTAATAAACCTTTTATGAAATAAATCTCAAGCAAACCAGCCTACGGAACTAATGGAAGGGACAAATCAACCAGCTTGTTAGAATTAAGTTGAATCGCAGTGGGTGTGTTTTTGATCGGAAGGGTGCAGCGATATGCATTTGATCGTTTGCGCACAACGGTTTGCACATTCAAAACCTCAGAGTAATCTCGCAACTAAGATCACCCCGGAACTAGCCTGATTCGAGTTCAGTGAGACGAAATAAAGGTCTGCCGAGTAGATGGAAACCAACAAAGGGTTTCCGTCTGCACGCTTGGGCTCTGGAGCCGAAACCATTGTCAAGTTTGGGCTGCTCTGTTCCTGGGCTGCGTAGCTGGATTGTGCCTGTGGCCTTGCGCCACTGCCGAACGCTACGGGGAGGGCTTCTAAAGAGGCTGGCGCTGTCTCAGCTGTTTGCCTGTCGTGTCTGAGATGTGCGCGCGTCAGAGGTGTTTGCGCCGGCTGCCGGCTGCGCTCAGCTCACCTGACGAGGGTCGGTCCGAGTAGCGCGTGCAGTACACCCAGGCCGGCCAGCGGCTGTTGTTGGACGGGTCGGCGCCGGGCGCGGCGGGTGTACCGGGCGTACCGGGCGTACCGGGCGCCCCGGCCGGCGGAGAGCTCACCGACTTGGCCCGCGGACTGCCGCCCCCTCTGCGCAGGTCGACCGGCTCAGACCGCTCATGGCCGGCCGCCGCCGCCGCCGCAGCCGCAGCCGCCGCTGCCGCCGCCGCCGCCTGGAAAGCTCTGAGCTGCGCCAGGCCCGGCGCCAGGCTGAAGTCCGGCCGCAGGATGTTGTCGATGGAGAAGTTGAGGCGCGAGTTGATGAGCGGCTGCTGGTGAGCCGGCGGTGGCGGAGGGGGGCTGGCGCTCCGCCGGCGCGGCGGGCGCTCGGCCGCCGCCGCCGCCGCCGCCGGCCGCGGCTCGTCAGGCGCCGGCCGCACCGCCGTGCTCGCCTTCCGGCGGTCGAGCGGCGGCGGCGCGCGCGCCTCCAGCAGCTTGGCGTGGTTCTCGACGATGCGCTGGATGCTGGCCAGGATGCTGAGGCTGGTGTCGGCCGGCCGCGGCCCCTCCCCGGCCGACTCGCCGCCCTCCTTGGACGCCTCGTCGTGCTCGGCGTCGCGGCTGGACTCGCCGGTCGAGTCGACCCGCTCGGGCTCGTCGGCCGCGCTGGGCCGCAGCACGTCGGCGATCATGAACGAGCTGCGTTTGCGGCCGGCGGGCGAGTCGGCGGCGCGTCCGGCCGGCTCGGCGGCCGAGTCCGAGTCGGTGGCGGCCGGCTCGGCCGGCGAGCCGGGGCTGCCGGCAGGCTCGCCCTCCTGTTCCTCCGAGGCACTCATGTCGCGCCGGTCAGCGCCGGTCAGCGCCGCCGGCCATGGGCGCCGCCGCCCGTCACAGCTCAGTCACAGTCGCGCTCACAGGCCGGTCACAGTCGCAGTCACAGTCCGCCGCCGCACCGCTCGCCCGGCCCAGTTTCGCTCGCGGCCGCCCGCCGTCTGCTCCGGTCACTGTGTTCGCTCGCCTGCGCTCGCGCCGTGCCGACTGCCGGGCGGCGGAGATCAGCTGGACGACCACCCAGGCCGACCTACCACAGCCAGCCCGCTAATAGCTCCATTATTGGCGCCACTGGCGGCATATAAAACAATAATCCCCGCCGAACCAGTCCACAATCGGGACCGGATCGCCGCCGCGCCGCGGCCGCCGGCGCCCCGCCCACCGGGCCGGGCTCATTACAGGCGGCCAATGAGAGCGCGCGTAACATCGCCGAGCGGCCCGGGGCGGGCCGCTGATTGGCTGCGCCGGGAGCGGCGGCCGGCCGCTCGTCAGCAGCCGGTAATAGAGTTCCGAGCCCGAGACCACGGTGCTACATTAGACAGCTTATTTGTGGCATAATGGCGTGGAAATATGCAAGCTTGCACCATGAATGCGGCTCGATGGAGTTGCTAGCCGCACTGACACCTCGTCAATGGGCGTGCTGCCGCGCTGCGGGCGGGGGCGGGGCGGGGGTGACCGGCCGCTAGTGCCGTCCAGCGGTTACCCCGGCGTTACACTGCCGAGCGGCTGGGTGCTGCTCTGTTTGTTTGTGCGCTGAGCAGTGAGCAATCCCTGCCGCGCTGCCGGTCCCGGAGGTTATCCAATATCCAGGTTAAGAGCCGGAGGGACGCGAGAGGCGCCTGGTGGGACGGCAGACGCGGCCGCGGTGGCCGGTGGGTGACCGCCCACTGCACTGGTGGGATACCCGGCGGACGCGGCCGGTGGGTCCTGTGACCGCCCACTGCACTGGTGGGAGACGGCCGGGGTGGCTGCGGAGTCTGCCAGACAGCCCAGTGATGTGACACTGACAGTGAGGGGCGCCGCCAGTGCAACACTTCACAACACACGACACGACCACACTGAAAATAAATTAACACTCGCGTGCCGGTGACACGAAAAAAAGCACCAATGAGAGGCGTTTTGGTAGGGTGTAACACAACTCATCTGTGTAACTGTGGGGTGTAACGCCGAAGAATGGTGCAATTACTCGGTGTTCAAAATCAACACCGACAATTAACACCAATGCCACCTCAGACCAACCGACGCTACGGATAAATAACACCACCATTTGGTGTCAACACCCCGTGACAGAGACGTTATATCGCATACGCCACACAATGGTGTAGCTCCCAGTTCATTGATCTCTAAACGGTGTTACTAGCACCGTTACCATGGATCGGATATGGCCTTGGATTCAATGTCAGCCGGCCGCCGGCCAGCGCGAGCGGCTGCGCGTGCACGTAAATTCAAATGAACGGCGGCGTGTTGATTCGCGCTTCAGTTTGAGTCGAGTGATGCGGGGCTGTGTGGAGACTGGAGGTGGTGTGAGAATCAGGGCTGCGGAGTCGGAGTCGGAGTCGGTGTCGGAGTCGGTCGGAGTCGACAGTTGTGACCGGAGTCGGAGTCGGAGTCGCTTTTAGAAACCCGATCCGGAGTCGGAGTCGAAGTCAACGAAAATCTGTCGACTCCGCAGCCCTGCTAGGTCTGCGGAGTCGGAGTCGGGAGTTGGAGTCAGTCGGAGTCGACAATTCTGCCCGGAGTCGGAGTCGGAGTCGGAGCTGGTTTTTGAAAGCCGGAGTCGGAGTCGGAGTCGGAGTCGCCGAAAATCCATCGACTCCGCAGCCCTGTGTGAGATAAATAAGTGATAAATAAGTGTGATAAATAATTGTGATAAATAAGTGTGATAAATAAGTGTGATAAATAAGTGTGAGATAAATGTCTGGTCTGGTATGTTGTCAGCAGAGTCCGGTGACCACCCGTGCACTTGAGAAAGCGCCACTCACAGTTGCCGCAATTTTTGTTAATAACATTTGTTTATTGCTCGTCTCGGACGTTACAAAATAAATTGTCTTTATTTAAGGAATGCTTTGCTTTGTATGGGGTCTAGGCAAGCCACAGTAGGGTGAATAGGTCAAAAACGCCCCCATTAAGCGCGAAACCTTCTGACACTCAACCCAATCGTCGGACGTTCTCACAGTTCGTCAATCCAGAAAAGATAGACACGTGAACGGTGAAATACACACCTACAACAACAAATACCCGAAATACCTACACAGTTTGATACCTTTAAACTTAATATAGAGGCATAAATAAATATGCGCTTACCTACTTCTATTCCACAGAGATGCATTCAAACGTATAGCCAACAGTCTGGTCTGGCGTTGGTGCGGGGCTGGATGGACAACGTGTCACAGCGAAAAAGCGGGGCAATATAAATGCAGCCATCTCAAACCGATTGTGATTATTCAATCATCAATGTGATGACTGCAAGTTGCATAGTTATAAGTTGGTCGGCCTATTCACATAGAGCTGCAAATAGAACGGGATTCAGCTAAGGAACTTCAGCCAGGCGATGACCGTGCATACTGAATATTACGTTGTAACTGTCCACAGCGCCGTTGAATGTGGTGAAAAGCAGCAAACTGACAGAGCCCCAGAGTCGCGTGGCTGAAATTAACACATATGATTTCTGTAAATACCCTTTCTACCTACTTTATACCTAACTCTACCTACCGGCTACCTAGGTACTCATCCTTTACCTACTTGCAGATGACTTTACCGGACAAAATGATTCTTTAGAGTTTAGATGAACAGGATAGACATATGTGTGCAATCATATGTGTGATCATATGTGATCACCCTGCTTGAATTACACACCAAGAATATTTAATGCCTATCCCTATGTTTGCTCTCCTTTGCCGGTCAGTCTCCGTTTGTTTCAGCGTTGGTTGGCTCGCCGCGCTGGCGTAAAATTCACCGTCAGGTTCGCAGCACCCTCGCTCATCGGTCTCCGACGCTCCGTGCTATTGCGAAATCTCGGGGCGCCGCCTGCTCGCGAGTGGGCAGCTCCGATCGATTACCGCTCGTTCTGATTAACAAAGCTGCTGCGATGTGTGAACACCACTCGGCAGCGCTACCGGAGCGCTGGGCGCCGCCGCAGCCGGCGGCCGGTGCACCGGTGCACAATGCACGCGCCGGCCGCGAGTACCGGGTGCACGCTGCACACTGCACAGCACACAGAGCACACAGGGTGCGCCCGGCAGGCTGGGCGGGGCAGACTGTGTAATGTGAACACTGTTTATGTGTGGCGGCATATCTCACGTGACGCAGAAAGCTCCAAAACCAAACAAAAAAATGTAGGAGTAATTAAACGTACTTTTATAGGAGACTCAACTTCAAGATGGAATGTTTGCATAAGGGCTGCTCAATTAGGTACACATGTAGATCACGTTACATTGTTATTCATTGCAGATTTTCTGTATCCGTATCACATTTGCCACATGCTCAGCCGTGTTGTGAGCATACAACTGCAGCGTTTGTTTAACGTTCTTCACATGAAACAGCATGCCAACTGCGAGCCTCTTTGACATGTTGACCCGTCCATTTTTCGCTTTTCTGACATAAAACCGTCACCGAACAAAAGCTGCTGACGGCTGCTGTCCGTCCACGAACTAATTAGCCATCAACACCAGCTTTTTATTATAGGGATGATTCAGTAAGAAGTAACAACATCGAGGTCCGAGTAATGAGAAAACAAAAGCATTCTTAATACAGCATTGGTGATCAGCCAGCAGCACTCGAGGAGGGTCGGTCTGTTCCACCTGATTAGGTAGGTAAACACATCCCACCTGCGACCACACGCATGAGTCGCCAGCCCCGCGACAAGGCTCTGTCCGCTACCGGCCGGACATCACTGCACCCCCCCCCCGACCCACGACCCCCTCCAGGTGCTGCAATCTCGGCTGAGCTGATTAGCTGGGTGAATAAATCATCAAAGGACCTTCAAAGGACGGCCACCGCCCGGCTGACCCGCCTGTGGCTGCCCTGCACTGCGAGCACAGCCGTGTTCCATGGAGCACACCTGAGATGGGCTCCATCGGACAGCGAGGGGGCTCTGAGACCGCCGAACTCCGTCCGCTGGGACCTGCGGACAGTGTCCGCCCGGACCTCCGGACAGTGTCCTCTGGGACCTGCGGACAGTGTCCGCCCGGTCCGCCGAACTCCGTCCGCTGGGACCTGCGGACAGTGTCCGCCCGGTCCGCCGGACAGTGTGCGCCCGGTCCGCCGGACAGTGTCCGCTGGGACCTCCGGACAGTGTCCGCCCGGTCCGCCGGACAGTGTCCGCCCGGGCCGCCGGACAGTGTCCGCCCGGTCCGCCGGACAGTGTCCGCCCGGTCCGCCGGACAGTGTCCGCTGAGGCCTCCGGAGTCCGGACAGTGTCCGCCTGGTCCGCCGGACAGTGTCCGCCCGGTCTGCCGGACAGTGTCCGCTGGGACCTCTGCACAGTGTCCGCCCGGACCTCCGGACAGTGCCCGCTCTCAGCGGGCGGCCGCTCGCGGTGAGCTAATGAGTCGTAACTCCGGCGCTCGGCGGGGTGTCGGTCAGGTCTGAGCGGCGCCCCAGCCGGCGCCCGCGGCTCCGAGCGGCGCCCATAGCGCCCAGCGCCGCGCCGCAGACCGCCATAGCTCTGCAAATGGCCTATAAACGCTAAACGGCTCCGTGTACAGCTGCCGGCAGGTAATGGTGCTGAGAGGGGCGGTGGCTGCCGCCGGGCAGCAGTCAGTGGCGACAGTTAGTGGTGGGGACGCCGATCCCTGGACAGTGGACAGTGGACAGTGGACAGTGGACAGTGGACAGGTCAGACAGCAGTGTGGTCTCACACTGGCGGTAGCGGCGGCGGCGGCGGCGGCGGCGGTGGCGGTGGCGGCGGCGGTCTCACCGACTCACAGCGGCGGCCGCTGATTTCGGCCCAGTCGGCCGGGGTGGTCCGGGCCCGGCGCGACACTGATTGATTTACGAGTGAGCGGTGCCGACACCGACACCAACCGGCCTGTCCGCCAACCCCCCCCCCCCCCTCCCCACCGCCGGAGCCGCGACACGGCGCCCTGCTGCCGCTACGTCAGCATCAGCAGGTCACAGGTCACTAATGTTTGGAGTTTTGTCTACTTGATACATGGCGCCTCTAAAGCTTATCTCCGCGAGAATCTCCAACAACAAAATCACATCTCAAATCGAGAAACAGCAGGCCGCTACACTGATCATTAATGTATTGACGAAATAACACTTTCTCACGTTCATAGCACTGAGGATGTAGAACGCTGGAAGA